GTGTGATAGATTCGACAATTCATCAGGTACCGTAGAAATAGTAAATCAGTGAACCGACCTTCCAGATATAGGGACTTTTATTCACTTTCTGTTTCTTAAGTCAGAAGCAATAAATCTGGCTAGATCGTGTCGTGTGTGCTTCCAATTGCTGTCATATTGATGCATTATCGCTCTAAGCAGCTTTGCAATAAAACACAGTAAAATACTGCCTTTTTAACTGTTTGTACGTTCGCAGTAACACTATGAAGTAATAACAAACGCGGTTTATTTCGACATTTGATTTTTTGAAAAAGATTCCAACAGACCATGACCAGCACGCGGGGTTATATATACTTCGAGCGATTTGGCGTTTCATTTTAGTTCAACCCAAGGGGCAAATACACCAAATACTGTCAGATTTGATCTAATGTCAAAAGTGAGATTTTTTTGCGAATCAAGCAATAAGTCGCAGTACAAACTGAACAGCCAATATCATCATTACTCGGATTCCAGGTTCAGCGAGAAAGAGAGAGAGAAAGAGAAGCAGAGAATAAATTGGTGTCTCATCAACCTGTCCACATTCATTTCCTGCGAATGCAGTTTGCTCCATAGGTTTTGACAACTAATCACATTGTATCTATCCACAATTCAGTGCGGCTTTGTTTGTTATACTGGCCCGGTCTGAATCTTTCTACAGTCATCGTATTACTTGCTAATATGAACCAACATTAGTAAATCTCTACATTCACTGAAAATGGTATTCCGGGTGGAAATACAAAGCGACGATCAAAATACGGTGAAAGGGAGGAACTTAAAGAAGCCCTCTACCGCAGAACGCCCGGGGTGAATTGTGGAAATCATCATGATGCAAATGTTTGTCTTTTCCATATGTGAAACTTTGCCACGATGTTTTTGGTGTTGATAGTGAAGTAGACATGTTTGTTTATTTGAAAATTCATTACTATTGCAGCGATCACTTGGAACCATATGACGCTATTAAAAAGAGTAAAAGGCGTGATTCTCGCGAGACCCGGACGATATCATCGTGTGGATGAAATGTGTCTAATCAAACTGCACGCTAGTGCGAAGCAATCAGTATAATGTCACTGCTGCAGGGCCAAAGATGTGCTTTTCGCATTTATAAGTTTTTTCTCTCTCTCAATCGATTAAGGAACACGTAGTGGAGTCAGAATAGCAATCTTTTTTTAAGACCAACGCCCTCAATTTGCACAACTCTCGTCTAGTTCAATGGCGGTTTATCTAATTCTCGGGTTAGTTAGGCGGTGTTGATTTAGCGGTACTTAAGTTACTTGGGGATAATAATTCATATACGAGACAACACTAAAACTTCTACCCGTATATCTACGCAACGAACACTGTTAATGAAAAAGTCCATTTTAGGTCCGAATCCCCCCCTGAAAATTGAATACCCCTCCCCGATATATATCAGTCGTGTTGCCCCTTGGAGGCTGGGGCAAGGGCACCATTTTACCGGACGGGGCAATAGCTAGCTTGGGGGCATACAAATAAGTACAACGACTTGATTCGCCAATTGAAGATGTATTTGCTTCATTGTGACACGACTTGATTAGTTTACCAAGCAACTTTGATGACATATAATGATGCTGCCAGCTTTCACATTTCGTCTACTACACAACTGGCCTTTTTTAATTTAAGTTTGTTTACACTTTCTTTCAATAGGTACGGCAACAATGGAGGTGAAACTGTTAAAGAACAGGCGAAGGTCAAAGGTTACAAGGCACTACTTGAAAATAATAAATTACCAGGATAGCAAATCGTAAATCAACAATCATGACAAAAAAGTAAAGATAAATTGGCCATCAGTTGCCTCCATAGTCTGTCAACTTTTGAAAAGTTTGCATAAATTCCAACTTAAGAAAACTACAATTTACGCCTTTAAGTTGACCAACATTTTACGACGAAAAACAATCAGGAAATTTCGACTACACTGTAGAGGTCATATGACGATGAGGAAGGGGGATGTGAAATATGTGCGTTGGCAACTCAGTATGTGGAGGAGGTTGGAGCGTGACGACGGTCGGACAAAATAAACAGCAAGCGAAACAGATGCCGAGTTGATGCCAGGACGCCAGCTGAATAGCAATGCGTCCATCTCAAGGGATATGGTATATATACCTACAATGGCGTATATCTCAATGGGTACAAACTGATCGTTTCGTATTCTTACAAGTCAAATGACACTTTGGCATCAATTGTTAGATTAACGACTTCGGGGGTCACTAAACAACTTTTAGTTTGAAAAGGCCGTACTGTAGATTATCTTGATGGCCAGAGTACTCAATTCATCCACCCTACCCCTTTCTATTGTTATATAACACTACCGAGCAAGCCCCACTCTCTCAGCTGCTCACTAGGTTCAGCCCCCCTACCCTCTTAATATCTACTTGCGGTGTACAAATCCTGGTAGTATCTGCCACCAATTGCATCTTATGTTCCAAGATTCTTAATATCAACAAATGTTTGCGTTTGGTGTTAATACCACCGCTAGCATCTGGTCTACATTATTAATATCTGACACCATTTGCATTCGATTCTCCTGCCAAAACACTGTTTACATCAACACTTCCTGGAGCAGATATTGAGTTCATCTCCTGATATATTAATACAGTACACACGGCGTGTCATCTCCTAGATATCGCGACCATTTATTATATAAAAAAGTCCCCGTCGGGTCTCGGTGTGAGGGGTACCAATTGTAAAATTATGAAATATTTTATGTAATGGAGACGTACAGCTAAAGCCGTTTTCGAAATGTGACTTTTGACTTTGTGGCAAATAATGGCACATATGTTCATTGTGATTTCAAGGACGGCCATTTTGGAAACGTACATCGTATAATAGGAGGCACACCTTCGCGTGCCTGTAAATAAGTGGAGGCGAACCTGATCAGCGTTGGTCTACTGCCAATAGTCAGAACACCGGGTGTTGTGGCCGGAGGCAAATAATAGTGCACAAATCACACAACGTACTCCAAAGTGTGAGATAACCATCAAAACGTTTAAAAGTTAACTGGAAATGTCTAAAATAAAGGAGAAATTAGTGATTGAAGTAATTGGACTGTTGTCTTAGGTATATCAATGGCCCTAGGCCGATCGAAGCCCACACAGTGCGAACACCCATATACGATCCCGGCTATCACGGCAGCGTAATTGACAAGTTTGATTTCTCTGCATCGCTCTTTTTACATAGTCAATTTAAGGTTGTTAGAATACAATGCCATTCCATCATATTGCTGCCATTTGCTGGAGGCAGCCTGTTCGGGCCTGAAGAGAATGGCCGCGACTCATAATGAAAGTAGTGACGTACGGTAATTCGAGTTGTTGTCGTCAGGTGTGCAATTTAGCCTCAAGTGTCGAGAAACGAGGTAAATCACACGTGCGTGCCTTGCTGGACATAACCAAATGACTTGTTGTGGATAAACAAACAAACAAACAAACAAACACACACACAACATCAACAATAACGACGAAAATAGTGGCCTATCATACATGATCATTACACGCGTAAATTACGTTTATAAACACCGGAAATAGAAGGGGGTATTTTAATTTTAAAGAAATGTTTCCTTTTTTTAAACAATATATCACTTCCAATATTATCATCGCCCGGCACTGTATCGAATTCAGGGTAGCATATGGAGTGCGGAAAGTAGAGTGCAATTATGATGAAATAAAAGACAGCCAACGGCGTTAGACAATGCCGTGACAGATGAACGCTGTGACAATGTTTGGTTTGAAGTCATATGAAATAGACGACGTTGTATGTTTGGTAGGATGGCTCACTAGGGGAGTTCATTTCGCTACAATGTAGCTGACCCTATGGCGAGTAATTGTAGCAAACTGTGCGGCACAATGGAGGTGTAATTTTACATTGTAATTTAGTGACTTTAAGCAATCAGACATTTACGTTTGTAGGCGATAGCATCATTTCATTTCCATTCACATACTGTCTTTTTTTCTTTTCGGAAGGACAACTGTCAGCATGTTACATTTGAGAAATCGCCAACGCACATTCAAGTCTACGGAGATTCGGCTTGGGGTTCACATGCAGGCGAAATGATGGTACAAGACGCTACTGGTCTTTCCCCAAGGACTTCTCCTGGGCTCTCTTTTATTAATCATTAATTGCATTTGAGAGTTGAGTAAGTGCCAATTCCTGCTAGGCCGAGAGATACAAGGATGGGAAGGCGGGGGAAATCTCATTTCAATTAATTTTTTAACTGTCCGCCTATTTGGGT